GAGAGAGAGAGAGAGAGAGAGAGAGAGAGAGAGAGAGGGAGAGAGAGAAAGAGAGAGAGAGAGAGTATATTAAACACATCTTTTCCGTATTGCAGGATCTTCTTTGAAGTAGCAAAACTACCCTTAAAAGAAAAATTGGATTTATAGATAATGCTTAAGTTAGTATAATAAATGTATACAGACATATGATTCTGATATCTTTATGTTCATTGATTCAAAATATTAATAGAAAGCCATACCAACTATTGTTGGTTGATTTTAACCTTTAGACTGCGAACGGTACACGTGTGTGCCTTGAAAAAAGTATTCGCTGTGCGCGGATAGTGCCTGAAAACATTTGATGCTCAATTTTTATTGCATGTAGATAGCGTCCGATGTCAGCTGAAATAACGCTAACTGCATATAGAAGCGAAGCTCCGCACACAACGATTGACTTACTGCCAAGCAACTCGCAGTCTAAGGGTTAATGAAAATTATATCTAGTTATATAGTTTATAGTTTTTAGCGTGCCAATAAGGATATTAAATCGTATTATACGTAGGACCCAAATGACTATGTGACAAATCTCGGATGAGTCTGATTGATCGCGAAGTCTCAAAGAGCCTCGCAGTTGCATTTACATTTTTCTATTGTCTGAGCATTTTACCTTTTTTATTTATATATAACAATAATATCTATGTCGTTTTACAATCGCAGTATTTGTAAGCTAATTTATCTTCATTCCTTTTTTCTTTGTTAAAATTTATTTTAGCGCCACGCCTTTACACTTCACGAGATAAATCCCAAACTTTATTCTGGGATTTCTTTTGTGACACAGTTAATGTATAATGTTTACCACGACCAATAATATTTCTATGAAGTTAAAAAAATGTGTGCTATCGATTGCCGATTACATTGGTAAAGTAAACATGATTATGCGCGAATGAATGACCAAGCAGTAATTTATATTCGAAATACTGTATAGAGAGGCGCATTGTTATGTGTATCGTTGTTGTACTTTATATATTATACAGATAATCGAAACTTATACCATAAATTTGCACAATATGTAGTCGTTACATGCGCGTATGATGAGTCCTGATCTTTATGAAGTACGATATCGTCGACTGTTTGATTCAATCGAAAAGACACTGTGCCTTGTGTGACGTTAAAAGATAAATATATTCAGTAAGCTAATTTAGCTACATTATTACAATTTTACCAGAGACGATCTGAGCTATTTTTTTGTACTTAGAGAAATATACATATATTTATAAAATATTCTTTCTATATTGAAAAGAAGATGTTAATTGACTGGTTTGTACGACTCTGCTCGAAACGACAAATATTCCTAGTTTTAAATTATAACAGTGGTTTACACAAGGTGTAACTAAAAACATAGGCATTAAAATTATTGTAACATCTAAACAACAGTTTCAAAAAGTAAAAAAAAAGGATTTTAATAACTGACATGCTTAAACTATATAATTATAACGAAAAAGATAAAAATAGCATAGATAAATCCTCCGTTTCAAAAATTTACATAATTATATGACATAACATTCTCTACTGAACGAAAAGAAAAACATAAACAATGGTCAATAGAAAGTGGAAAAAGATAACCTGTGATATTGACATTCGCCCATTGCCTAATATAACAAAATTGGAATGAAATGTGTGTATGTGTGTGTGTGTAATAAGTCTCATTATCTGCAGGGTGGTCATGAAGTTCCATTACTCCTAATGTGTAATTGAAAGACTCAGTATAAGGATGAAACAATTTTATAACTTATAAGATCCATTTCAGATACAATCTTATACTTGAACTGATCATCATAAATTATGGATTGACTTCATTCTTGCTGAATCCATCAGTTATCACGTTGGAGCCCCTGCTATATATAATTTATTTTTTTATTATTTAAAAAAAGACAAAATATAAAAAAAATATAAAAAATTCTAAAAAACAAAAATATAAAATCCAATCATAACAAATTAACAGTCTCCATAACTTTTGTAATGGAAAGTAACATTGCCACACGAAGTTCTATGAGAGGACATTTGTATTATTTATTGATTAAAAATAAGTGCACAAAGAGAATATAAGAAAAATAAAAAAAAGTAATATTTATGAGAATGTTTAACTATATGAGGAGTAAAGGAATTTTAAGACCGCCCCGTATAATTCACTCCGATACTCACGTACAGTATTTATATGAGTTTCCTCAGCACGATATCGTAACACAATAAATACGTTTAGATTCTATCGATCCTCGTTAGATTTTTAATTATGTCGAAACAGATATAGGCAAAGTACATATATAACAGATATAGGCAAAGTACTGTACATATGCACGATTGTACGTTCATACACATGTACATATATGTACCCTACGATTAACTGGGACAAATTTAATGTGGATCTTTATAACGAATATGTATGGAAGAATGCGAGCGCGGTCTTAAATAAGACTTGTTCAAAATTAAGCTCTCTACTGTGGTGTGTATATAATCGATAATATATTTTTCTATTGTCAATGTATCATGGTGTGTCTTTATTTTGGAGATAGACAGAATTCATCTTGCTCCCATGAAGTGTCATCTTGTTCAGATACTTCTTATGAACTTATCAGTGACAAAAGAACTGCATTTTTTCCAATAAATATAACACATTTCATATTCAATAAAATTTTTTTATTGGAATACGCTTTAAGATTGCGACTTTTCTGTCTCTTTCATTATTTCATCAAATTCACAGATAACTTCAAAGTTTTCTTGTGAAATAAAAGTCCTTTTATCAAAATCGCACTCGTACATGTAATAAATTTTTTGCAAAAATCGAACAAAACGACTGAAAAAAAATTAAATTCTCTTTATGTTCTCTTTAAATTTTTTACTCCACGAAAATAACAGCGTCTTTATATTCATCTACTATTTTATCTTACATGCATTTCAACACAATCTTCACAAATAGATAATAAATACATAGTTTAACATGTTATATATTATTCTAATTTCAGAAAAGAAACGTTGCTTGTGGAAAAACAACTAAAGATTGTTAAAAATAAAAATGATATACTTAAGGAAATGTATAGTTTTTTTTTATCTTGTTTAATTGACACTACATTTGCCATATATTTGATTAGTTATACACAATTATACATAAATAAATGAAACTAATCAATAGTGCTGTAATGCCGGTTTTTAATGATTATCGCAACCATTCAATATACTAAATATAACGGTAAAAACCAGGTGAATACTATACTATTGGAATTATATTAAATTTTTATATACAACGACGATGACTTCACACTATTTGTACTCGACAATAGTATTTGAACACTAGAACAAAAATTACTCTATAAATATGACTAACTTATTATTGCCATTTACAGAGAAATAATACTTTTCATTCAATATATATACATATTATATAACATATAATTATATATATATATATTAATATGATATATATAATATATATACATCATATACTAATATAGAATGCGTAATATATATTAATATAATATGTAATATATTATAAATATATTTTCGTTTAAATATATATAATATATATACATACTCTCGTTACGTCTGAATAAATGTGTATAAATATCATTAAAATATTTCTGTAGTCTATCAAAAAGGTAACTAGTAGTAGGTTGTAGTAGGCTACTTTGTGAATTTATTTTATACATTACGCTTTATGTAAAAATTACTTTTTCCGTAATAATTTAGTGAAATGCAATTTGTGCAGTATTATACAATTCTCGATTGCTTGAACTTTATGCTACGATTTTATGCTGTATACTTATATTCTTCAATAAAATTATTCGACTTTTAAGACGCATATTTTTCTCACAAACCTGTAACATAAGTCCAAGTGTCACAAAAAGATCCAACGAACTTCTCATATGGTTCTCAGATATTGGACAGGAAAAACGTAATCCAAAAAAAAAAAAAAATAAATATATATATATATATATATATATATATATATATATATATATATATATCTCACAATACTTCAGCCTTTGCTATGATACGTATACACACATATACATCTTTACGTCAGCAAAATGTCTTATGTGACCAACAATGTACGAATAATAGTCTCATGAGGTAAATCTCGGCTTCAAAATTACTTCCCATATAATCAGTATGCATATTCTACTCGGTATGGCGTAACAAGGAACGCCTTCGTCGTTCGTCAAGGCTTCTCCTCCCTAGAAATTTGCCTGACACGTAGCCTCTGACATCGTGGACACTCGGGCTTGTCACCACGTTTACAATCCACGTGGAAGCAGGCGCCACACTTTTCACATCGGATAACCCGCGACAGATCCCATGGGAATATGATGTCCTTGGAACAGCACAATTCACACACGAATCCTCTGGCTTGGCATAACTAAAAGAGGAACGCAGAAATTACAATTCCATAAACTATTATATCAAATGATGATAAAGTTCTTGATAAATAAAGAATAAATGATTTCTCATGTAATGTAGATACGATACCTCGCAGCCTGCGATGTGCGCGCAGCAAACTTCGACGAGCTCTTGCAACCTGACGAATAATACTCCAAATTTAACATGTATCAAATCTTGAATTGAATATACGTGAGGATCGCTTATGATATAATTCGGTTCCTTCTTCAGCATATCTTGAAGGCTGAAATGTCGCGAAAATAACCGGATCAATTTCAAAGTCTTGCTACAGAGTGACAATGCAAAAAAACTTTGATATTTACCCAGTCGAAAATCGACAAGTGAATAGGAAATCTTTCAGGAAGAATAGTTGCGTACGTAGAACTCTCGTTTTATCCAATTGTTTAATGCGTCTGTACAGGAGCGGATTCAAATCGTTCACGTGGAACAACGGATCCGACATCATTTGATCCAATAATCGATACGAAAAGTTCGACACGGGGTATCTAAGCAGAAAACGCTTTATTGGCAACAATTTCTTAAAACAATAATGCTTGGACACTGATATATTGATCAAGAAATTTTATTAACAAAGCAAAAGGCTTACCTATTAAAGTCCCATTTCGATAGAATTTTCCCCGGTATAAACGCTACTTGATTCGTGTGGCAGCCCGTACAAAAATATCGACCCAAATACTCGCAATAGCGAAAGCGATTGGCGTACTTCACCGCTACTTTCATACCGCAACCCGCGCATCTGTAATTCTGTTTCGCTATCAACATTCGTCTCCTAAGGAAAAAATAAAATAGAACATTAAAGTAGAGCTGAAATATTTTCAGGTGGAATCACTATTGAAAGGAATATTACAAATATTTATATTTATTAGATTGATACGCAAGAAGTTTGCTATTTTTCTTTTAAATTCTCGTAGAAAATTTTGTTTTCTAGTTCTAATTTGGCAAACACGACCGAACAATTTAATACAATTTATGTCAATTTAATACAACTCTGCTTTTCTCTTCATACTTACACCGGTGGTGCATGGGGGGTGAAAATAATCTGCGGTCGGGGAGGAGCCCATTCGGTAGTCCCCCTCAATGAAACTGTTGTCGCGTCTTCGGTCTCGGCTTCGTCGGGGCTGACCGGCCAGCTCTTCGGCATCGGCAACAAACGCTGAGGAGCGTCCTTCTCCGACACCAGCCATTGCAGCTCGCTTGCCCGAGGCAATTGCTTTTCGCTGAAGCGACTGATGAGAGAAAGAGCCACTCCCTCAGCGGACACGCTGCTCTCGTTTAAGGTCGAATCCGCAGCGTGCCTTGCTGTACGCGATTCCGTGTCCGAAAACAAATCGACACTGGACCAAGACATACCACTGTTCCGAAACTTCAGCGAGTTCCGCTCGTCCAGTTCCGAGGAGTCCGTGCACACGCTGTCGGAGGAGCTCCCCGGGGACGTGGACAACGGGCTGACACTTTGATCAGTAGTCGTGGTCGTGTCGGTCCTGCCATCGCTCAGCAGATCGCGACTCCAGCCTTTGCCCCGACATTTCTCCTCCTGTCGTTGCCAACGTCGCAATCGGATTCGCTGCTTTAGTCGATTGATCTCCTCGTCACTCTCATCGTCGACCGCGTCATCCAGCAGCCGACGCTGCAAACGATTGCACTTCACCTGCTCGATAGCAGCGATCATTGCCTCACAGATGCTGAAATGTGCGTTCTCACGGTCGAGCTCGGCGTCGTGGGCACGAGAAAACTGAGCGGAGGTCAAGAAACTGGCCAAACTCTGGCCTTCAGCCGGACGTGGAAAATAACCAGTCGCCATCGGTTGCACACTACTACCACCGTCTTCCATGAAGCTCTTCCGCGGGGTCCGGATATCTTTCTGACCCTCGACCTCTAAGCTCCACGAACCTGTGAATTCGGGCGCCGATCCTACGAGAAACGAAGTCTTCCTGCGTGTTGTACACTGCTCTAAATACCTCATCTCCACCGATTCGTTCGTTGCAATCGGCCGCGTCTCCTCAACATTCCCGGCTTCTTCGTGAACACTCGAAGAGGCCTCGGGAAACACATTGTAAGACGCTCCCTTAGCCTGGCTCGGTCGAATCTTTGTCCTTCGATTCCTCGTTTTTCGTTCGCGCCTCACAGATGTCTTGGGCTTTGCCACAAGCTTGTTTACATTGGGATCATCGGGCTGCTTTGATTCCGAGTAGATAATGTCAATGATCTCTGCCAATTCAAAGGCACGAGGATTATTACTACTGTTATTATTATTTCCGTTTTCTTGGACGGTCGGTGAGACAGCAGTTGAGCTGCTGTCAACTGCGCTCATCTTGCAGTGATTTTTAACTAAAGCAGGCAGACTGTTCCACGTTTTCAGAGGTATTTCTTGAATCTTAGAATCGCTTTGCTCGCTATCGATATCGGTGGCTTGTGCGGATTTTGACGTCTCTTCGCTCTCTGTATTCACTGTGTCGCGTGACGTGGTCCCCGAGATACTCAGCTGATCCAAGTGACATCTGCTATATACACTGAGGCTTTTGTCTCGCGGCATACTGTGGCCAATACTGGAGAAATTTACTGGGTACGAGGATGAACGACGATGCCGCCTGGGACTCGCTCTGGGAGATATCCAAGTTGGCAAAAACTACAGATCAAAATGAAAAAATAGAGCAGCTAGTTAACTTCTTAAGATATATATATATATATATATGTATTTATATATAAAATTTAAAATTGAGAATTTCTTTATTTAAAAAGCAGATTCTTTTAAATGAACGATGATAAAAAAAAAAAAAATATATATATATATATATATCTTACCATCATTCATTTAAAAGAATCTACTTTTTAAATTAATTCTCAATTTTAAATTTTATATTATGAAATTCTCAACTTTTTTAATTTTAAATTGTAAAATTCTTAACTTTACTTACTAAGCAAGGGTCAATTTCTGCAAGTAGTACAGGCTGATTCCTTTCCACTGCTCTTAGGCATAAAAGTGTCGCTTCTGCCAGATTCTCTTGGCAAAGAAATGCCCATGGCTCAAGACAGGAAAGTAGATGTTCTTTATCAGATAACAACCACGATAATTTGTGTGATAGAGAATGGCTTTCTAAACTAAAAATATATATTATGTATCTTCTTTTCTTTTTCAAAATGCATTGTTTTATTTCTAATAGTTTCTATATTCTTCAGCAAAAATAGTTATATGTTTATTAATATGAAAAAGAAGAATTACCTTTTATACAGCCACAACATGTCTTTCTTAGAGGTTATCCTAGTTGGTAAATTGCACAAATAATCTTCATTCTCTGACAACACTGGTGATGTCGCTAAGGAAGGTTGAAGCCAGTTTAATCCTTGAATAAATATCCAACAGTCCGGTTCACCCTTATAAAAATTCCAAATATAAAATATTTGTGCAACAAGAAATCTTCTAAAATATTAACAAATTGAACCAATACAGATCTTAACTAACATTTTATCTCTCTCAAAAGTATTTATATTTTTCTATCAATGAAAATATGATTTTTTGGATTAATGATAGTGATCCTGATACGATAGTGATCCTAATAAGATATAAGAATCCTGATATAATGAGATATAAGAATAAATGGATATGAAGATAACATTTTTAGCAAAGAATCTTCAAGAACAAACTCAACTAACATTAGGATCATATATCCGACAACCATGTTTGAATATCTGTTCCACCACATTATGCAATCGGTTTAGACCACCGTAAACATTCCATACGTTAGACACTCCATCAATCATCAGACCTTCCACAGTAGATCGTAGACTCTGCAATAGCTGCCATTTCTCTTTGTTGTGTGTATTTTCAGACATCCTGTCAATGGAAGATGCCAAGCATCATAATATCTCATATCCAAACACATGTTACTACTGTCAAGTTCAATCTTTACCTGATGACTATCGACTACAATGGATCACAAAGAGCTCTTCTCCATTACGTTACACGTGGACGTAAATAAATACAATACTTTCTTCTTGTCTCTATCCTGGAAGACATATTAACCACTGTTCGTTCTCATACGTGCATCAGTGCGATCTAATTGTGCGAGAATTAATTGAAATGGTATCGATCAAACAGAATCATTGAAAAACGCTTATTAGGAGACGTTCAATCACACCGTTCGCATAGATAAGCCGTGACGATAATCGTTGCCTTCTTAATTCCGTTCGCTCGCCACGTCGTGATTCGCCCATCGTTTGTCATCCTCATCGTCGCTCGACGACAGCTGATTACGCCACTCGCATCATACACGCGACAACCGCTGCTTGTTGTAATCGATGACGCACGATAAAGCAACAACAGACCATAGGCAGTCGTTCCTAAAGCATGAAGAGCAATTATCAGCAGTTGGAGAGCATGGAAGGTTAGTGTTTACGTTAGTAACTACGGCAGTCTCTTCCTGAAATAAAGATTCACCTAAAGGAACGACTCCATGGGAAATTCAGAATGGCGATTATAGCTCTTTGCGGTTGTCGACAACTTCGTGTTGGTGATTCCGTCGATATCACAGTCTCAACATTATTTTATCGCAAATGAATGACAGTCGGTAAAGTGTGTGTGTGTGTGTGTATAGAGAGAGAGAGAGAAAGAGAGAGAGAGAGCGCGAGAGAGAGAGAGAGAGATTGTACCTTGTATCTTATAATTGCATCTAGCATTGCTATTACGTAAAAGCAATAAAAAATAGTATTCAAGGCAGTTTATCAAAATAAACACGTTTTGCTAAAAAAACGACAGAGAGAGATATAAAAAAGAAATATTAAACGCCAAATAAATTTCAATCGAAATTTTAAATTAACATGAATCTTTTATACATGTTTATACATGTTTATATAAAAAAAAAGAAAATATTCTTCTGCGAAAATATCTATATCACTTTTAATCAGTAGATCGTATACATAATAGACACAATTATGTCTATTGAGCGACAATTATGGCAATGCAATTGTATGGCATTTCTCTGAATTAATCTTCCTTGCATTAATTGTTATTTCCACTCTATTGTAAGTTAGTAAAACAAAATAAATTACTCAGCTAGCATTCGTTATAACAAAATGAAAAGACGAAGTCACATTTCTTTCGGTCTATTAATCAGCATAATATAATGATTAAATGGCATCTAAGTAACTTAATATCGAGTCAAAGTCCTACGAACTGGGTAGCGATCATGAATCTTTCACGTGAACTTCATTTTCATTTTTCACTTTTCACTGTAAGTTATTTCACATGAAAAGTAAACAATGAAAATATGGAAAGCAATATTTATGTAATATAGATTATTAAAATTAAAATGTAATTACAGTATACACAGTGTAATATATAACACATTAATAAGAATTATACAATTTAAATTTATAGTTATAATATAATATAATAATACAATATGAATAAATTTAATAAATGAGACGAACGTTAACCGTGAAAGTTGAATTCTCAAAACGTGAAATATTTCACGTGAACTTTCAATTTGCTCGTAGATGTTCTTCTTTACATGTAAATTGTATAAGTTTCCATGAAAATTTTTAGGCATCAAGCGATGTAGTTTAAATGTGAAAAATAATGTAATACTACACTCGCATATTATGTACAAAGTGAGTATAATTTCTTATAGTGACTTTAATTTTTATGGTTATACGACAATTGGCATTTGACATAAGAATCCTACGTCCATTAAAAATGAACAACGAAAGCCAATTGAAGCGTGATGACGTATAGGCAGTGAAAGCATACCGACGAAGTTTGCAAAGTTAAGATACGTGTGCATCAGAAAGTTAAAGTGTAATATATTATAAATTATACGCAGTAAGTAAAATGTAAGTTTATTTTATGTATTTATTGCATATATTTTATGTATTATTTTATATGAAATATATATTTTCTGCAGATTTATAATTTTAATATGAATAGAATATTTTCTTTTAATAATTTATCCTAAAGTGATCCCAAACAAGCAGACTTCCAAGGGACGTTCTAAAGACATCACATACCAAGTATGTAAATATGAAACCGGAATTTTTGTATAGAAAATACACGTTTATTGTATGAAAATGATAAAAAATATTTTATTCGAAGTATTGCCC